TTTCTAGATAGACAGGTACGACAAAAGAAATGACACAATTAGCTGCCAAAATAGCGGCTGTAGTTAATGATGTTCCTTTAGGGTGTGGGTGTGGGTATAGGTGTGGGGTATGGGTATGGTGTGGGAGTGAGTGTGGGTGTAGATGTGGATAGGTGACGAAGGGAAGACCCACACCCACACCCACATCCACACTCACACCCACACCCGCCCACACCCACACCCTTGTTGAAAATACAGATGCGATTCAATATTTCTAATAAGCATATGAAAAAAGATTAGCTTATTGATCAAATCAATGAAATATGTTTGATATATTGAAAATATTCAATGAATATTCCATTAGATAATACTTTCAAGAAGAATTATTTCATCTTTTAATACCATAGAAAGATATAGATGATCTGTGTTAAATACTTTCAATAATTCATCTGATAGATAGCCTACACAAATCTCATGGGTTATAGAGTTGAGTAAAAGAAATTTATCATGGAACTCAAAGATTTTATCCAATTAAAGAAAGAATACATGTAGAAATTTGAACGAGTAGAGTGTGGTATTTTTTCCATTCATTTACAGTAAAAAGAATAAAAAAAATCAAATACTTTGTTTTTGGAATAGAAAGTACTTGATTATTAGGTGATTTCTTGTCATAATGTGGCTAGGGATATGAATATATTGAATGTGATGATGTGCAAAACTTAATTTCGAAAAAAAAGTTACAGCAATCTCAACATTTTGATAAAAATAAAAGAACGTAAGAAAAGAAAGTGTTGATGTGATGAGTCATAGTCTGTTTTGTTTCTTTCCATTCGTTTTATTAGTCTACTGTGCATTTTATGCTTGTTATGTAAGTATATAATGATGAAGAAGACGAAGTAGTAATCATACTTACCTGCCACGGATGCATTAACGATCAGTAACGTTAATGCTCCAGGTTGAGGCGCGGGCATTGCACATTGCTCCCGTTGACGCCTGCGAAAAGTCCACATCGGACTTTCTCGAGTGGAGAATTTGTTCCGCGGTCATTTGCGTTCGCGCATTGGCCATTCAAATGACAACAAAATGAAATATTTTTCCAATACGAGTTTGATAAACTCTTTTATGTTAAGAAGTCTACTTCCAATTTTTTTTATATAGTCTATAACTTTTCAAATAATCCTATGAACAGAACAGACTCAATAGAAGATTTCTTCTTCTCAAATCTACATTGAAATTCAATTTCAATTCAGTTCTATTGAATGATTGATGCATAATAACAGTTTTTTTTTTCATAAAAATATCAGTTAACAAGCTCCTCAATACACGAGAAATGAGAAATTGGAATTTCTAAATTGTGGGAAAACTTTCAATAAGGCTAAAATACGTAGTTTTCTAAGCAACTAATTTGCTCTCAGCACTTCATGAATGTTGATTTTGGTGAGGAAATTTGTAATTTATACACTCTTTGCATTAATCAATTCGTCAAATTTTGATGGAGCTGAGTAGAAATTCATATCAGTCATACATCAACATCATTCTATTGGAATTCTCGATCTTATGACCGCATTTAACAGTTTAGAAAGAAAACAAAATAAACTTTCATTACTTAGAGAGAAACATAAAGTTAACCTTTGATTTAAAAATGAGAATTCTCACAATTCTACGTGATGAATCATTCGAATTTCATGAGCATAATAATAAGCAACATCAGTCTGATTATTGGTATTTATTTTAAGCGCAATAAATCTTCACATGAATCTGACTGGTGCTTGCATAACACTGCGAAATGGCACATATTGCTATAAAAGTATTCCTCTGTGCTTTTGTTAACTTGGCTACAATTGATCATGGTTCATTTTTGAATCATTGATGAGCTCGTGAGAAGAATTCCAGTAGAATTGTATTGTTGTAAACCAAATTATTATTTTTTCAATCCTAGAGCAACCATTTCTTGCTAATACTAATATTTATGGGTAAATATGCTGTAGTTGATGAAATAAATTTGTTTGCCAATGCGTAGATAACATATACATAACGAAATAAGGGTATGGTGCGTGCGCGTAGGTGAGAAAGAAGAAAACCCACCATTACACCCACACCCCACACCCACATCTTCAAGCATCTAGATCTTTCCAAGCCCTAATAGCCTTTTTACCTAGGCACACTGCAACACCATATGTGGCTTTTGTTGATTGATGTGACGCGCCTGAGAAAGTTATCTAACATGTGGTAACGAAACTTTGTTTGACTTTTTCTGTAGCTGTAAACGAAAACCTGCTAACGGGTAGTTAGGTCGATCGCAGGTGCACCTGCATAAAAGAGATTGACTTCAGACTCCTGAATGCACCTTCCTGCACCGACAGCAGTGCCAGACTCCTACAGATGATAGGTGACTACCACAAGGGGAAAAAGGGAGAGAGTGATGACTTCGTTCCAAACAAAGAACACAATGGATGATATCATTGTGATATCATGAGAAAATCAAGAGATAGAGAGAAAATAGTAATCGCAAGTATGTGGTAACAAGAGAACGTACAAACATATGAGCGCGTGAACAGAAAGAGAACACATAGCGAGATCATATATATTTGATTAATTTCTATTCACCTGTATTATAGCATCATCTTCATATGAATATATATACTAGATAGTGTGTGCACACCAATCAAATTTTTTTCCTTTTCTCTTATTGTTTATCGATGGAGAGTGTATATTACGAAGAAATACCCATTTTTCTAAGAGGTTGAAAATATTCATGCACTTAAATACAAAAAAGTATTAAGTAAAACAGCTATGGTTAACCGAACGATTAAACTCTCACTTGATCTAACAGTTTATCGCGGTTACTCGGCAGTTTTCGAGCGTTTCGAACGACATGCGCAGGCACCATCATCAAAGATTATAGAAAGTGCCGAAGAGCAAAATGAAGTATTAATTATTTTTAGTATCAGTAAAGGAATCATTATCTATTTGTGATGTTATTTATCGAAAATTCTTTCTAGTTTTATTACGGCGTACTCTACAAATATCTAATATTCACAAATGGTTAACAACTGAATAAACCGAAAACGCATTGTCTCAATATAGTACTGAAGAAGTAAAAATACCAACTGATAATCTCGATCGACAATTTGGTGTAGGCTTTATTGTTTTTCAATCAATTTAAGGTTGTGATCAATTTTTTAACAGTATCTGCAGCAAAAACAAATATTTATATTTATCATAAGGAATTTTCATTTCAATGTTTTAATTGTTTTTATATCTTTTAGAAATGACCGCACTTGAAGCGGCAGTAAGAGGAGTACCAAAACGAATTGATAAAAAACAAGAAGAAATAAATATTGTTGTTAAAAGTTTATTAGCAGTGATGATGATTTTATGGGATTATGATAAAAAAGTGAATTTTTTTTCCGATTCGTACATACTAACCATCATGGATCCAAGCTAATCATAAACAACAGCACGAAAAAGAATAAAATTTGTTAGACCACGATATTAACCAGCAGTACGCTAGCTACGAAATGACTTTACTATATTCATCAAGGTTGAACTGAAAATATACAAAGAATCAAAGAGAATCAAAGAAGTCGAGTGAAATAATATATATATAAAGTCAGTGATAGGATGAAATGGTGTTTTTATTTGTAAAATATTCATTCGCATTCGTTGGCTTCTTTTTCAAATGAACAACTTCAACAGTACCACCCTTCCCTCTTCATCTTCCGACGATCCTAATGTCTCAACTTTATCTCTGGCATACGATCAACATCTTTCTCCAATTTCCAGACCTTGAGCACGATCATTAGCTCGGGCTGGCTCGGTATGTTTTCCACAATAAAAATATTTAACATGAACTTTCATAGTTTTATTCTCATTTAGGAAATACAACAACATCCATCTGTTCCAGCTCACGGTCGAGGTAAATTATACATCAAAAATTTTTATTGATTTTGGATAAAAAATAATACTTCTAGATCATGCTTGACAAACTCCCTCCTTGTCCGTAAGTGTTTTGTTTTATTTTCATTTAACAATAAGTCTAATGAATTATTGAAAGCAATTTTTTCATCAGTATTCTTCATTGAATAAGTCTTGTTATTCTAAGTGTACGATAGAATGTATCATCTTCTTCTTTCTCTGATGCGAACACATGTTTACATCACTCGAAAAATATATCTAACACGAGCGAGCAGAAGAAGAAAAAAAGAAGAATCGACGATCATGTACACTAAAGAAAAAACAGGAAGAAAATAGGAAAGATCTCACATTCGTTTTTGATAGTAAACGAACCTATCTCTCTTGTCCTAAGTATATTGAAAAACTAATTCATCAACAAGAAGCCATATTGAAACTAGTCTATTTCCGAAAACAAATTTTTCATCTTCGTTACTCTTTGCCATAGAACATAAAACCCGTGTTAGAGAGAGAGTGACGTTTTTCTCGTTATGTAATGTACCTATAAATACTCTACGATCACCGTCTGGATCAGCTATGTGTATGTGAAACAATTTCAGATCATTTGTCCTTCTCAACATCATTCTTTTTCTTCTGTTGTTTTTCCTCATTCATCAATAGTCAATTGCCTAAGTAACAAACATATTAATATAAATAGAAGAATAAGAATAGAGCATAGAAAGGTAAACAAAATCATTGTATTGGTTTGTTCGTTCAGTTGAGTTAGAAGAAAAATATTCACCATATATTCATTGGGATTATGTGAGTATCATCACTCATCTGTGTTGCTCAATGAGAAAACTAGATTATTTACTTGATCCGATAGATAGAATTTTATTTCTTCATGAAAACAATTTATCATATGATCTACAGAGGAAATTTATAGTTTTAGTATAAATCAAATGAAAATATTCCATACGCGAGGCCTTCACAACTTTCAAACATTGATATTATAGTGTAAATGAATTAGAATTAGAAAACGTAGAAATTGATCCCAGTTAGTGACACCTTTCTTCCACCCACTTCTTATGAATGTTTTATTTTCTAATCAGAAAAACAAATACATGTTTTTCTTTGTTCTAGTCAGAACCCCTCCACTTCTTCTATCAACAACAACTCCTCTCGTGCCACTAACACCAGCAACAATTCCTCTTCAACCTCGAACAATAGCAACAGCAAATCCTCGACCTCCTGTCCCGTCTCGAACAACAACAAATCCTTACCCTCCTCTCCCATCATCAACAACAGCAACAATAAACTATCTCTGTCTCCGATTTTTATCTTATTTTTTTGTCAAATAAAATTCGAAAACGTAATCAATTTTGTTTCAATCATGCGCCAATATGATAATAAAATCACTTGTATCAAAAACAATTAATTAGGATGATCAGATGATGAAAAAATAAAGTTTGCGATCGTCATAGATGTGAACAAACAACTGGATATGTTATGATAAAAAAGATCAAATAACATCTAGGCAGAGGAAAACTTTTATCAAAACAAGAAACTCTACTTTTTCGAATTAACACAAAATCCTTCTCTTCGGGAATAAGCGCCGGTATTCATCTGTTGAAAATGAATAATGAGAGATCCTTCATCGAGTGTGTGAATGTGGGTGTGTGCCTGGGTGCTGGTGTGGGTGCGGATTATCTGTCCTTCAGTACCCTCACCTCACACCCACACCCAGAATGGAACAATTTTCTTCTGGTTTTGGAAACTATGTGTCAGAGTTAAAAATAATAATAATTTAATGCTAACACCTGGGCATTAATGAACCTTAATGCCAATAATGCTCAACCATTAGAGTTGCTAATTTAATGCTAATGCAAAAGTATTAAAATTAGTTTTAATTAATGCCAATACTAATTCTAATGCGACACCCCTATCTTACATAAAACTATGTATTCTGTTTTAATGATATTAACTAACGATAGTTCTTACTATTCAAAATTTTGTGTATCTGCACGGTAATATGATAAATATTTCTAATCCATTTTTTTAATATTTGTCCGATCATTTCCCGTTTTTCTTCGATGTACACTATAACGCTAGTAAGAAAGACAATAGTTTGAGTGTTCAATGAAAGAATATATTGAATAAGTAATCCTATCAAATGTAACTTATTGTGAAAGACAAAACCACGACGTCATGCGCAGATGAAAAATTGATCTCTTATGACTAGGTTCATGACAATAACGAAGTAGATTACCAGACGAACTCTACTCTTTACTAACTATTACACTGCATTATCCTTAGAGCATACCAAAAGTAGTGGCGGAGGTACTTTATTTCCGTAGAGAAAGCCTGATAAAGCTTTCTCTTGATATCTAGCGGTGTTAAATACAATGCTCTAATTTTCTATGATATTTCATCACACTGCAGTTAATATTATAGTAATAAAACTTCGACAAAGAGCTGTTTTGTTATAATATGCAACGGTTATATTAATGCTCATTTAAAAAAAAATAACTTTCGATAGAAACAAGGCAGAGAGCTGCAGTTATCAATACTGAAAAGAGCAGATGAAGATGCATCGAATCGTATATCAGAGGTTTTTCTAATAAGATTTCTGAAGCTTTTCATTCAATTTTCTAACCGTCGGAAAAGTAGTTTTTTACGAAGAAGAAAAATGCAAAAAAAAGTGTTTTTTTTCAAAGAAATTGCTAGAAAATCGCATAAGAGATTCGACTAGGATACATATTATTCCTTATTAGCGTCATAGTGTATATTGAAAAACGCACGAAACGATGAGACAAAAAAATAAGATGATAGTGGATTAAAAATATTTATCTAATTGCTGTTCAGATGTAAAAAACTTTGTATAAGAATAGTAAAAATTATCGTTATTTAATATCACTTAAAACAAAATACATGGTTTCATGTAAGATGTCCAATTAAATATTACTATTTTCGCTTTTGCTTTCGTGAAGAGACTCTCGGATAAAGAGAGAGGAATATGACCATCGTGTTCTGGATCAAAATTTACCTAGATCTAACAGATAGAATGAGGCTAGAAATCGAACGCCAAAGCTCATGTAAAAGGCATACCTATCTCATATAGACTTTTCAAAGATGATGTCAGGTGCAAGCCATTTCTGGAGATCCCACGCTAAATTTTTATAGGGTTGTAGGCCAGAGAGAGTACTTCTAACTTCTAAAGACCAGCTCCTAAACGGATCCATATCTTGAGAGATAGCCTATCATGAAAATCCCCAATTTTATCAATAAGCCATTTTTGAGAGGACTCCCATAACCAAACAGAACGATATGGATGACTGAAATTTTTAAGTTGTTCGTCAGTACCATAGAACAAAATTTACATTTTTTTCACATTAACTTATTTTATTGCGAAGCACGATTAAACAATCATCAAGTGTCTGATAATAAAAATTCGGAATGTTACAGGTCGAAGAAAAAATAGACAACTGTGGAGTTGTCTCTCACTTCCAACGATTCCGTCTCTGTTCTATAAACAGTAATGACGAGTGCGAGCGTGAACGTATCTGTCTTCATCCATAACACCTACATCCATATTCACGTAAACGATCGTATACAGTCGTCGTAACACTCGATCTGGGTATCGGTTCTATCTATCTCTCGATGTGACTGCTTGTCCTGTACTGACTGCTATCTAAGGGCATGCGCTGAAGAGAAGAAACATAACTGGAGATGTGAAGTACATAGCTGAATAAACATCATTGCCGACAGCTATGACACCGCTACCCTTCTAGCTTTTCACATAGGGTTTGCCAGGCAATGGATACCATCAAAATTAATTCTATTGATACAAGCAAAAGATGACTTCTTTTCAGTAAACTAAAGCAAAAAATAGACGAAATAGTCTTGTCAAAATATCTCCATTACACTGTTTCGCTTCATGACAATCTCCTCTAATGATGCGAATGTGGCGACTCATGGTAAATTTAAATTAAAACTAAGAGCACATTGTGAAAAGAGAACATTTTTTATATAATATCAGAGTATTGATCGAGATTACTCTTTCAAAAACCTAAAATGTCGCTACATAAAGTGTATTTTGATAATGATTGGCATTCTTGTCTCTGCTCCGTTGTGTCAGTTAACATATCAGTGTGCTACAGTGCACGATAAGAACAACAACACGTGGAGAAAACCGACAAATTCCATGAATTCATGGTCAACATCTATCGTGTCTCTTCACAACCATGTTGAATCTTATACCGATAACAATAAGAGGGCGAAGGCGAAGATTCAACTTTCAAAACCATCTTTTATCTATTTTCTTTCACTTTTGTATTCATTTCTATGTATGGGATTGGGTATGGGTCTAATCGGACCAACTATACTCAAATTACGTGAACAAACAAATTCGACACTCGATCAACTTGGTTATGTTTTTTTTACACGTGCGTTCGGTTTTCTTGGTGGGACTGTATTTGCCGGTATAATTGTCGATCATTTTGTTTTATTAGGTCGAACATTTTTAACATTAACAATTTTAATTATGTGTTTGGTAATACTGATAATGCCATTGATTAAAAATGTTTTTCTTCTTATATTTGTACAATTAATGTGGGGTATAACAGCTGGTATGGTCGATAATCTTGTACAAATTCTTACGCTACGCCATTATGGTCAACATCAAGTAGGTCCATATATACAAGCTGTTCATGGTGCATTTGGTATTGGAGCATTTCTTTCACCGTTAATCGTTGCACCATTTCTTAATAAACATAGAAAATTTGATCAATGGCATTATGCTTATTGGATTATTGGATTTTTACACATACCTAATCTTATTTGGATTTTATTCTATGCTATACGTGATGAATGTTGTTTGAAAAAGAGCGTAGAGACAAATGTAACAATAGAAAATGATAAGTTTGTCTCTGAGGATGACGATAACAAACAATCAATAGGAGTTATCGTCTCTAATGATCCAACAAACTTACCATCATCATCCAAAATACGACCATTTCGAATTATTTTAATTATCAGTTCACTTTCGCTTTTTCTTCTATTACACGATGGGAGTGAATCAGCATTTGGAGCCTATTTACATACTTATGCGAGTCTTCATTTAAATTTTTTAAAAGATATTGCTGCTTATCTCAATTCAGCTTTTTGGGCATCATTTGCTTTCGGTCGTCTTTGTAGAATTCCACTATCGACTAAATTATCTTCATTTCAAATGATTTTTATTGATTTAATTGGTTGTATTAGTTCACTCGTACTTCTTTTTATCTTTAACAAATCATCAACTATTTTATGGATTAGTTCAATTCTTTTTGAACTTTCTATTGCTTCGATATATCCATCGACAATTTTCTATACTGAGGAACATATTAAATTGACTGGTAAACGCATGTCGATGTTGACTGTTGGTGCTTCGACGGGTGGTGCTGTTATACCTCTTTTAATTGGTTTCTGTATGAATTCGACATTGATCGGCCCTATTGGCTTTATTTTCATCACACTTGCCGTTATGATCTTGGCTTCTATACTATTCGGAATTATTGCATTTTGTACGGGTCAACGTTCATAGTACTAAATAAGCAACAATAACAATTATTGCTCTTGTTGCTCTTATAGCGATGTTGTTGTAGTTTAAAATAAAACAAAAATTTCCAGGAAAAAGTTTTCAGTACAATCCATACGAGATTAAAGTAAGAACTACGATGAAATTACTTTAATTGTACAGAAAGACCCTCGCTATAATGATCACAATTTTTTCAAGGACAAAGGGGCAACATGTCGAAATGTCTGTAACGGTCAGTGGAGCGGACGTGCAGGGTTCACTTTTCTCGCTATATACTTTAACACTCATTACAATCATGTTTCACAAAAGAAGAACCAAGGAAGAAACAGTAGACTCCATGACTGCATGACGGATGTGGGTGTGGGTGTTTGTCTTTTCTTCACCTAAACCTAACACTCACACCCATACCCACGCCACACCCACACCCACACCCACACCCACCCACACCCACACCCACACCCACCCACACCCACACCTACACCCACACCCACCCACACCCACCCACACCCACACCCACACCCACCCACACCCACACCCACCCCCACACCCACCCACACCCACACCCACACCCACACCCACACCCAC